GTAGCATATAGGACCTGGTTCAAAATGCCACTGTCAAAACATTGCTGGGTGGTAGCTACTATAATACATTCAGATCCTTGCAGAAGCCACAAAATTGTGTACAATTGCACTCAATGTCAAGAAGGGAGCTCCTTAAAACTGAGGAGATTTTATTTTTAAAAATGAAGCTGAAGGGAAATAGCTGTTGGGAGGTACAACAGAGATCTGTTAAATCACAAGTGGCACAGAAAGGCTGGTCGGAGCAGATTGTTCATGTTTTTTCCAATACAAGAATTAGGGGCGTTAAGAGATCTAGGAAGTGGCAGCTCAAAACAACCTAAGGGAGGGTATTTAACTAATCTGTGAAATAGAGTATTGAAGACACAAAAAACTTGAATGGCCTCCAGTGGAGTCAGATGTATTTGTTGAAGAGAAATCCATTGAAAGTTACCAAATACAAAGATTTCTAGACTAGGAAGTCTCTGAGCAGAAAACTGTTGAAGGTTTGGAGAGGACAAGAAGGAAGCGTGATATGTGTTTGCCCTTGCTTCTTCTCCTCTGTAGGCATTTGCTTGTGACTACTGCTGGAGATAGGATTTGGGGCCAGATGGACACTGCCACGTCCACCCCCTCTCCTTTCCTACCCTCCATTTTTCTGATACAACTAAACAACTAAAGCAGGTATTCTAGAAATATTTACTATACCAGCAGCAGGTCCAGTCTGTGCAGTTGATGAGGCAAAAGACCAGTTTGGGAAAAAAAATAGATTGTAATTATCTAATTAAAAATTGAATTATTAAATGCAAGGCAGAAGTATCAGAATCACACAGGCTGCCTCATCTCAATGCAGCTTCTCTGAATTCGGAGTTTTGCACCTACAGTACTTTTCTTTGAATGTGGATCCTGGTGCTTCACCTTTTAGACTTGTAAGAGTCAATTGGAAAAGCAAAATAATTCCATGTGGACATCACATAAGTGCCCAGGCAACCAAATGGAAACCAAACTGGCCTTCCTGTTGTGTAGGTAGCTAGAAGCTTCAAGTAGTGGGTTTTAATAAATTATTTCTACGTGCAGTTAGGAAGAGAAGCAGCAAAGCACGCACATGGCAGGCAACATATTCTGGCAGCTACACACAAGCTCACACTGATTTTCTGCTTTCCCTTGACCTAGGTACCATCTGAGAATACCCTCTGCTGACTGGTATCATCATGGCAGCATCAGCAGGCCATGATGCCATTGCTTGGACTCGAGGAGTCATATGCAATCCCTTATACTGAACCTCTCTGCTCACAAAACCCAGTGCATGGATCATCCTGCCCTTGAGACTGGCAGAGCAGGAGGACTTGGGAAGGAGTCTCTCCCAGGTGCATACAGAGCCAAGCATCACAGGCTTCCGGAGGATGAAATTACCTAGGACCTTGCTGGAGGGTCCGAAGATCTACCTGAATCTTTTGGAGGACTCTGCAATTGAACTGTCCCTCCTATCCTCTCCCCAGAAAGTGACCCGAGGCATTATACCAGGAAATACTGTGCACTTGTAGATTGTTCTCATGCTAGCAAAGGGAGCAGGGGGAGGTTTTGTTCTGTATTAGCAACCAGTACAACTGGGAAGTTATTTCAGCTTCCCTTAGAGGATTTCCCAGGCTAAGCTCCAGGTTAGAGGTAAACTGGGCAGTATGTTCTTCCTTGCCCCTCTGCCCTTGCTGTAACAAGGGGCATTCACAAAGTCTGTGAGTTATAAAGGAAAGCTGCTGCATAAACTCATCGCATCATTTTGGACCCAAACCCGTAAGGAACCGGCTCCATGTCATCCTCTCCACCCAGGGGACAGCTATGACAACAAAAAAAATCTGTGCAGTGAGAAGGGAGGTAATTTCCCTCTCTGCATGTATGACCACACTTTTATATACCACAACATTCCTTAGTATCAAGTTGAACAGAAGTGTGGTAAAGAGAGTTTTAATTAAGTAAGCACTGTACTAGGCACTTCTTCCATGAACAATTTATTGTCTTGACAGTACAGCAAATTTGAGTCCTTATTGCCCTGGACATTACCAGAGAAAACCAAGGGATAGCTGCTGTTCTGAAGTATCTACAGTGTAAATGTGAAGGCACAACAGTGGAAACAAAATAATATAATCCTCATTTTATAGGCAGGAAAAGGCGGGACAGAAAAATTGGATGCCAAGACTGCATTAAAATAGAACCCACATTTCTAAACTCCATGGCTAGTACCATAAGACAGTCTTTCCTGTTGTGCACCATTGTAAAGTGCTTATTAACACCACCTGATCTGCACAGAGTTCTTTCACCCTCTCTCACAGATGCAAATAATTTTTAAAAATGCAAGCTGGTGGAGAATCACGTTCTTGTTGTGCAACAAATGAAGTGTCACATTTTCCTTAGTTTATTTAAAATCATGGAATAATGTGGTTATCATTTCCACTTGTGCTGCAGCCTGTCTGCACAGCGAGGAGTCACCAGGCACTGTGATAAGGAAGAAAGAACATCCCTAAGATATTTTTATCTATGAACTGGGAAACATTAATCATTTTTCAGCTACTAGCTGTTCACTCTTATTCATCCTTCTGGATGTTCATCTCATGATGAATGTTAATTTTGTCTGCTCTGTGAACTGATCTATGCACAGTTATCCGAATTCTGAAACATTTGAGGGCATGGCCAGACACGGGTGAAAAGGAGTAAGAAGCTAGAAGTCCTAAACCAACTGTTCAGCTCACAAGCACTGAAATTGCCCTGCTGTGTATTGTTGCCTCTTCAGATCTACTGCCCTGGCTGCATGCATAGTGATCCTTAACCCAGAACTGTCATAATAATCTGGGTATGTTTGAACACTGTAAATAATATGCCTTGTCTCACCTGAATCCCTTTGAGAGAGCTGCGTTACATGTGGGGTTACAGTGGAAGCATGTTTTGAACACGCTTCCTGCAGATTTGCTCCTCTCTCTGGTTCTCCATGTGATTATTGTAAAGAGTCTTGAGATATGGGTAGTAAAAGGCTTTAGAGAAGAGTCTGGGGTTTTGTCAGGGCTATATCTCCCCTAGTATTCAAATTTATGGCATTTATCAGTGTTGAAAAATTTCCCAATAGCCCCCCAGTCCCCAGCCAGTGCATGCACACACATGCTATGTATGTGGGCATCCCACACACTCGTTCCCTCTGACCCTTCCAGGGTGTCCACAGCCCTGCTTGCTATATTCTGCAACCACCATCAGCAATGGGGAGCTGCTCTGCTGATTTTTCATTACAGCAGTGCAGTAGATCACTGCCCAAAGAGAGAAGCAGACTGCACTCATCTACCACCTGAATCAATAGAGGTGGCTGGCCTGGGACTAGAGTTTCAAAGAGAAAAACTGGGACAAGTAGAGGGACTGTCATAGATAAAGGTTTTGATGGAGTGAGGGAATTAGGAAGATAGAAGGTTAACCTCTTCCTTTTCCTGAGTCTTTTCTGCAGTGACACATGTCACTGCAACACTTTAATGTAAGGAGAAAAGGGCACATGCGTAAGAAGGAGTATTTGTCCTTCTGAGATCTCTTCTTTATGTGAATTCCCATCCAATCCTCAGTCTTAACCTACCATCTTCCTTATTCCAGGACTGGCAATCTTTCAACAAAGGAGCAGTAGGTTGTATTTTTCTTTTCCCAGTTAGCTAGTAAGTGTGCCAATGGAAACTTGGCGGGAAGCTGAAGATGTTGCTTCTGTCTGTGGCAGGAGGTCTTGGTTCCTACTCAGTTTGGAGCTCCATGGGGGCCAGAAGCAAATCCATCTCCCAGACGCCTCTTTGAAAATGCCACAGCTCTCTGACTGCCCAGACTGCCCATATTCTATGTCTGTGTGATAAACCTGGCCTAGCCACATCCCCTTGCTGTTGTCTTCCTTTCTGCTCTACAGTTTGGCTATAGTTGGGCAACTAGCCCTGGGAATTAAACTCCACAAAATACCAGCCCTGGTACCCAGGCATACAACAGAAGGAGGCAGTCAGCTGGAACACTGTGGCTGGAGTGTAACCCCAGTCGTGCATTGTTTGAGGCACCTTTCTTTTTTAATGTTCATCCAAAATGAATTGTTATAAACCAGAGAGAACACACAGGGAATATATCTTCTCCAGAGAACAGCTAAGTAATGGATATGTAGCTGGGACAGCAAGTGTTGGACTGACTTTCTCATAGACTCCTTAAATAACTAAACCTACAGGAACACTGACGTTTTGGGGATAAGCCAGCCCCACCCTTCATAATTAGGGCAAAAGCCCTCTGTGAGTTGACAACATCTCTATGTTTCCAGCAACTCCTGTGTGTCAGGTACCGAATTATCCCAGGACTCAGAGATATGTTGATGTCATTGAAAATTATGCAATATATACTTTGAAAACAGACTCTGAAGTAGCCCCTTAACCACAGAGGAACTTGACCATTTAATATATACTTAAATGTCTTGGTAGACCAAAGCTACATCCCCCCAATATATGTATGGGGACTTACTCTCATACATGGATTTCTTCCCCAGTTTTCCCCAGGGAGCAGCTCTTTTGCGCACTTAAACAAGCTGGAAATAGTTGAAACTAAATCCCAGTATGTAACGTGAATCCTGCATTTAGTGGGTTTGACTTTTAAAAATGCAAATACACACAGGCCCTGATGACTTCAATAGCATTTATGGGTGCTCAGTGCTTGTATAAATGTCACACTATTTATAACATATTTCTGTGTCCTTTTTTCATATTCTCTGTTGGCCTGTCTCTTTTCCACTGTGGTGTCTTTGACTGACATAGTCACATCAGGATGTACCATGTGTTTGAATAATCAAGAGAATACAAATAAAAGTTATCTTTATTCTAGTCCATATTTTTCCATTGCTCAACTTCCAGATAGCAGTACTATTTCACCACTGCTTTTTACATTCTACATTTCATGGAAGAAAAATACTTTTAGTTTTGCAGAGGTTTATTAAATCTTCCAAGTCCAGTTATTTGCTTCTAGAGTTTCCCCCCTAAGCTTTAGAAAATTGTTTCAGCTGTATCCAAACTCATGCCAACTTCCTGGCTTCTCGGTCGCAACCCATCAGCGAGTGCTCTACTAAGAACTACTTTGAGGCTTTCCTTGAACCTCTTCTTCTTGCTGCTTCCTACAAAGAAGTAAACAAGGGGGTTGATGCTACTGTTAATGGTGGAGAGAACAACGGTGACATGGTTCTGCTGGCTGAGCAAAGACGACCAGTGGTGGTAATTCAGAAGATACAGCAGCCTCATAGGCATGGCAAAGATGAGGAAGACAATGACTGTGGCCACAATGATGATGTAGAGCTTTGACGAGTGAGGTCTCAGGGAGTTACGATGGATCCTGATAACCAAGATCAGGCTGGACAGAATCATTAGAGGAATGAAGATCATGAAAGTCAGGATCCATGTGAAGATGAGCAGTGCTTGGCAATAGTTGCCATCATCGAATTGCTCCTTTGCTGAATCATCTTTACATGTTAAGTACTCGGTTACTGTCATCAGAAAAGACAGAGTCCACAGAATTGCACACACAATTGCCGATTGATGCTGTGACCGGTGGCATCGGTACCAGATGGGGTAAACAATAGACAGACACCTCTCAATACTGATGGCTGTCAGGAGATAGAGACCAGTATTATATCCAAGAAGGAAGACAACAGATAGTGTGGTGGTTATATAATAGTAAAAACCGTATGCGAATCCAAAACCAGCAATATACTCAATTGACAGAATAAATGTACAAAGCAGTAAGGAGATGTCAGCAATGGACAGGTGTGTGATGTACGCAGTGAATGGGTTTCTTTTGATCTGGAAGCAGAGGCACCAGAGGACAATTCCATTTTCACAAAAACCCAGGAAGGAGATGATCATTATTGCCCAAAGTGGGGTCAATATCTCCCAGACTCTTTCCTGTGTAGAAAAGTTTCTGTGCATTGACATGTTCTCTGTGCCTTCGCTGGGATGAAACGTTATGTTTGGCTCATCCATGGGGAAAGCTCAAGTTTGGATGGCACAGCTCTTCCTTCTGTAAATATGTATAAAAATACACTGTGAGCATTGTGTGCTCCTCCCCTCCCCTTTTTCTTTCTGTTTTGTGGATCCTCATTTTCTGGTCATATCTGAAAGCCTTAGCAAAAGGAAAACCATCTTTGATGTACTGATACTAGCTGAAACCCAGTTGAACTACTCTTGGCAATGTTAAATGTTGCTAAGCCCACCATGCTAGCAGAAATCCTGACCTTTCTTCTCTATGAGTTTTAGCATGTGAGTGCTAAACCACAGCTAAAGAGATACCCTTAAAGAGCTTTTGGACAAGCAACATCTCCATCACATTGTGAAGTTTCATGATATAGTGGTCACAGATAGCATTGGTGGTTCTCGTTAGAGCCCTCGATTGTTGCCAAACAAGTCTATTCAGCTGCCATTGAAGCTAATTACAGTAATTTTAAGTTCAACATATGTATTTCAAATGAATTTGGCTCATAAGCTTTTTGGGTTTTTAAAAAAAAATCGATGCCAACATATCTTTTCCAGGAAGAGCTTTAATTAAATAAGTAAAAATAATATGTAGCAGTTACTCAGCATTGTATTCCCTCTGAGTACAGAGATGGAGGGAAAGCAAAATGCCACCGTTTTGAGACAATACTTTTGACCAGCTTTAAGCATCAGTTATCATAGCATATCATAATTTAACCATGTTTACACACTTTGAACACTTAGCCCAACTGCAAATACCCTGCAAACATTAGAAATCCAACCCATCACAAAAAGTAGTTTTTCGCTGCCATTGTTATAATGGTTATATCTGTTGTTTTGCTGAGTTATGGAACAAGTTCTTCTTTTGTATGTCTTCTTTTAGCCGATTTTCCTATGAATATTTCATGCCCCCTTCCCTATTAACTTCCCAACTGCCCTTGTGATAATACAGATAATACATTCAGGACCCTTGCTGATGTACTGATGTTAACGGGGACTAAATGTTGGCAGTAAGCTTGCCCAGCTGACATCCATATAAGCAGCCTCGTTCATTAACATGCAGTAATGGGAATATACCCATATCTTCAAGCAGTTAAGAACATCAAATACAAGGTAAAAAAGTTTTTACTGGGGCAACATTTGCAATGATTATTTAAACACAGCCATTCACCCCACTCATACATTTTCTTTCATGAGCCCTGGGTTTTCTGGGTTCAAAACAGCTTCTTAAGATACAACATCACAGTCTAAGAAGATAATTGAGTAAACAACCTGTGAAGCCTCAGGGCTTGCTGGCTTTTAAACCTGCACAAAAATGTTAATGATGATCCCACCTGCATGTTGACCATGACACCATCCAAGACTCAGTCAGAAGGAACAAACAACATAGCTGGGAATGTGGTAGAGAAGTGAGTGTGAATGCAACAAGTAAATGCAGTGACCAGAATGAGTGGCAAGATTCCCAAAAGCAGCGTTCTGAAAAACTGCAGAGGGAAGGTGCTCAAACACTGCTGCGGTAAGTGGAGTAAAGCTGCACAGGAGAAAAGGAGAGGATAAGCTATCTAATTCAAGAGTTAAAACAAACAGGAAAGGAAAAAAAGAATGAAAAGGCTCAAGTACAAAAGACTCAAAGCATGAAAAGACTCAAGAAAGTTCTTGATTCCTTTCTCCATATAAATGGAGTATTTCTCTCTGGAGAGTAAAACAAAAGGAAAAAGTTCTGGACTTACTAAGGTCATTCCCATGTGAGAGCATTCAGAGATGAAAATGAAGAGAGTCCTCTCCTTCCAGATACACCCATGGTCTGTTCAGATTTCCCTGAAGCTGTTGAAGAACTTCCTTGAAGAAGCTGAAGGTTACCTTCTCCAACCATTTGCCTTTGGTAAGAGCAGGGGCAAATAGTAACTCTGACCATGACTCCCTCAAAAAGAAGTGTGCAGTTCTCCCATTGCTTCAAATGTCTGAAGCATGACAAGCAAAGGGCCCCAGGCTCATCAACTGAGGCTGTGCTTCAAATGGCATCACTTAGTAACTGGCAAGTCCTCTAGCTGAAAGCCTGGGAGTTAACTCTTGTGGGAACTGAATGGCAGTATATGGAAAGTTGTCCTGAGCTGCTACAATACCAAGAGACCTAGTTTAAACAAACAAAAGTGAAGTGAGTAGGAAATCTATTTGGGGATGATAAGATCTGAAGGAAAAATCTACGCCACCAAATGCCATCTGAAATAATACAAATGGATTTGTAAATTTGTCTTATATTTTTTCATGTGAGAAAACAGGACAGCAAGAAAGTCAGAGAGGGAGAATGAAAGAGAAGAAACAAAGAGAGAAAGAAAGAGAAAAAGGATAGAAATTGAGAAAAAAGAGAAGGAAAGAGAGAAAGAAAAGAAAGAAAAAGAAAAAGAGAAGGAGGGAAGGAAAGAAGGAAGGAAGGAAGGAAGGAAGGAAGGAAGGAAGGAAGGAAGGAAGGAGGGAAGGAAAACTAATTCATAAAACAAAGAAAACAGATAGAAAGAAAGAAACCACAGGGCAAAGAAAGTAGCCACTTTGCTGTGTTAGTCTCATATATCCATTCCTCTTGGTAAAAACTGTATCTTCAGATTATTCTACCAAAAAAACCCAGCCATTCAAAGCGATAATTTGTTCTTGAGATTTAAAGTCTTCCCTGAAAAGTCCAAACAGGCCTAGGAGCAGATAATCTCTTTGAAAAGTCCCCTGAGGATGTCCCCTGCTTTTGCCCCAAGTATTTGGTTGTTTTTATATTCAGATATTAGCAGAACAAACATTCTTAGCCAAAAAAGGAGAGAATTTGCTTGGTCTTCTCCTTTAGATGTTTCACTAAAACTACCAAATCCCCAAATGGGAGGAACTACTAACTAATGTGAGAAATAAATGACCCCAAAGGGAGGGTCAGAATTAAGTTAGGAAAGAAACAGAGTGAAATAAAAAAACCCCAAACTTCTAATTGCTTTATGCTGGCTTAAACTGTAATCTACTTTACGTTCAACAGCTATGGGACCAAAAATTTCAAGCTACCTCTGAAAGAGAAAAAAAACCTGTTCCTTTCCCATAAAATGGGATATGCATATGAGTAATGAGAAGGGTCATTGTAGGAACATGTTAACATTTCAAGATTGACCAGGTACCTGGATTTGAGCCTACTCAGTCTGCTGAGTAAACACAATCCAAAATCAGGGATGCCCTGGCCCCCATGTCTCCCCGGGGAGGGTGGTTTGTGACACCCCTCTCACAGGCACACGGCACCTCCTTCATGACTGGTCCCTGGGGCACCATCAGTCATCATCTACATGGCAGGGCAGCAGACTGAAACCTGGTCTTGAGGGGTAGAGATCAGGAGCACAGCTTATCCTTGGTGACTTCAGAAGTAACAGGGAGGTTGAATAGCACAGGGGGACCCCATGGCCGGCTGACCATTGGAGTGTTTATATCAGATGCTGCCAAGAGATGGAGCATCTATTTCTGAATCAGTTTAACTATTCAGATATTGAACAAGGAGACTACAACAAAAAAGTATGGAACCTCAACAGATCTTAGTATCGACAATAAAGAGATGATGGACAATATAGATACTCTGTTAATTTCAATCTGAACTGAATATACAACAAGATGTGACATGAATTATAATTTATCCTAAAAAAATTCTCTCATACACTAACCTGGTGGGACCTGCAAGAGCAACATTGCAGTGGATGTAAATTAAATGTACTAACACTTGCAAATATCCTGTGTATATGAAGCTAGCAGTGTTACCTTTTTATCATTTTGCTTTGAGCCTTTGAATAAGTTAATGTTCCTATATCTCCAGTTCCTGGAAGCAGAGGGCAACCTGCAGAAACCTCACAATTCAATTCATTCATTAAATAAAACTCAACAACCTAGGATTTATAAACCAAATTAGAGCGGTTTATGTAGTTGATACAGGTGCCAGTATATAAAAGAGCCTCTGTGTATCTGGGAGTCAGGTCTCCTAATTATATACTTACACGAGCCATGACAAAAACAAGGGATGAGCTTTGGCAGCACTTTCAGGCAGTGCAATTTTTCCTGATGGTCATTCCAACATTAGCACCTTTGAACTGAAATTCATTCCATAATTATTCACCTCAAAGGTGAGGAGTTGGGCACAGGTTGCAGAGGAGTGTGGACTGAAGAGCTGGGCTCAAACAACTAACAGAGGCACACCAGAAAACTGAGGGGTTGTAAGGTGACCAGAGCGCAAGCAGAGGGCTCTAGGGTGCCATGGGGAGCAAACAGAGGACTCTGGGGCACACTGGGGACAAATGCATGGGTCCTAAGTGTCTTAAGATCCATTAAGGCTCAGAGATACTAGAGGAGCCAGAATGACTTATGGTTACTCCTCAATAGGTTATATGAGAATACCGTTAAAGTAGGAGTTAGGCTTAGGGTTAACCTTAGGGTTAAGGTTACCCTCACCCAAAACCCACTGCAGAACTTGCTAGACATCTTTTATCCTACTTGTATCAGCCATCATCCTAGCGTATGTCCAGTGGTAATTGTTGGATTGTGTTTTATAGGCAACAGGCATGAGAGCTGGATTTATTGTTGGCTTCTGCAAAGCAAGATGAAAGTACGCGTCACCAGCTAGTTTTGAGACCAGCAGGGATCAGCTGTTCATAGTAAAAAGTGAGGTTATGGTAGGAGTTAAGATTCAGGAAAAAAAAAGAAGATAAAGACTAAGTCCAGAGTCAGGGTTAGGATGGTGGATGCTCAGTTGTTATAAGGCCAGTTGTAAAATCCTGTTAATGGCAATCATAGGATTGTGCTTTTAGGAGAAGAGTATGGAATAGCAGACTCCAAAAGCAAGGATTACTGCTTAATCTTGAAATCCTACTGAGAGATTTTTGACAACTAAAATTGGTAGGGGTGAATTAATCATATTTTTTTCCTAAGTGGTTAAGACCCACTGCATGTTGTTTATGAAAGTGGATTTAGGACCTAAAAGCTAGATGTACTTTGAGAACCTGTGAAGA